CTGCTCACACCGCAGGCTGGGCTTGCATGGGTGTCCCCAGACCCAGGAGAATCTTTTTTGAGGACATTTTCTTTCTCACCAAACCCCACCCCCTTTCCAAGTTTCTTGCCACTGGCACCTGATCCCCTGAATCCTGGTTCTTTCGCTCCTATCAGGTTACATTTAGGATGACCTCGGGTCCCTACGGATGCTCTTGCCCCACCTGTCCCTGAACCTTGGAAATGCTTAGTGTCCAGGGCAGGGTGTAGTCACAACTGTTTTTCACTGGCACTGTTGGGTAAGGACAGGTGTTCTTCTGGGACCTGAAGAAGGGCTGGACGGAGTGGTGTTCCCAAACCGGGGTGGGGGGGGGGCAGAGGGCTGTTCTCTCTTTCTTGTTTCTTTCTTTCTTCTCCCCTTCCTCCTCCTCCTCCCCCTCCTTCCCCTCCTTCTCCCCCCCTCCTTCCCCTCCTCCTTCCCCCTCCCTCCTCTTCCCCCCCCTCCTCCTCCTCCTTCTTCTTCCTCCTCTTCCTCTTCTTCTTCTTTTAGTTTTGGTCTATTCAAGATAACTTAAAACCAAACAACAAAACCAGATTTCTTCAATTTCCTGCTAATTTATAAAACCAAACAGTGAGTGTCTCTTTACTTCTTTTGAATTCCAATGACAACCCCTCTTCTGTGTGTGTGTGTGTGTGTGTGTGTGTGTGTGTGTGTATCTTTTAAGCAACAACATTTAACACATATAACATGCCAGGCACCATTCTGTTCTTTCACATGTTCATTTCTCCCAACAACTCGGTCACCTGAGCAGTACCCCTACCCCCGAATCCCAAACAATCCAGCCAGGGAACAGCCCAGAAGGGCCTTGAACTCCAGGGGCACCGCCCTCGAGAGGAGCCCTTACTCACCACCCTGTACTCCTCTCCGCGAGCTCCAGGCAGGACCCCTCTGGAATTTTCAGGGCCCAGTGCAAAATGAGAAGGCACGGCCCCTTGTTCAAAAAGTATGACAAGTTTCAAGATGGGGACAGCAGAGGACTAACCAGGAACAGCAGCCTCTGCGGCCCCAGAAGCCAGCTCCGACGCCAAGTGCTGCTTTCGGTCGCGCGGTCCTGGGGTGCGTGTGGAAGTGTGTGTGCGCCTGTGTGCGCCTTTGTGAGAAGTTACTGCCAGTTTTATAGAGAGGGAAGAGGGAGACACAGAAATTAAGTTGTTCTGCTGCCTACCAGGCATATGGTTGTTCGGTAGTGCAGTTGTTTGCTTCTCTGCAACGACTAGCCCCTGGGCCCGTCTCAATGGACAGGACAGTGTCATAACAGGATATCAACCGTGGCTTCAGGAGACAGGGCTCACCCCTCCCTCCTACCCCATCAGTTCCCATCTTTGTGATTAGCTTTAAAGACAGTGTGTGGGGGCGCCTGGGAGGCTCAGTTGCTCAAGTGTCTGACTCTTGATCTCAGCTCAGGTTGATTTCTCACGGTTTGTGGGTTTGAGCCCCATGTCAGGCTCTGTGCTGACGGTGCGGGGTCTGCTTGGGATTCTCCCTCACTCTGCCTCTCCACTTTCTCTCTCTCTCAAAATAAATAAAGAAACCGAAAAAACAATAAATCCAGTGTGCCCTAAAAAATTAGATAAAACAAAACAATTTGCCTAACATCTTTTCTTTTCTTTTTTCTTTTCTCTTTTCTTTCCTTTCCTTTTCTTTTCTTTTCTTTCTTTCCTTCTTTCCTAATTTATTCACTTATTAAGATCTAATTAGCTTTATGAAATGATTCAGACAGCATCTCATCTAGCAAGTAGAAGGGACCTCCCGCCTAACAGCTTTTCACACATACAAAACGAAGTGTCCTATATTCTAAAACATTTTTTTAGTGTTTATTTATTTTTGAGAGAGACAGAGCATGAACAGGGGAAGGGCAGAGACAGAGGGAGACACAGAATGGGAAACAGGCTCCAGGCTCCGAGGTGTCAGCATAGAGCCCGATGCGGGGCTCGAACTCACAAACCGTGAGATCATGACTGGGGCCGAAGTCGGACACTTATAACCAACTGAGCCCCCCAGTCAGCCCATGAAGTGTCCTATATTCTAAATATTGGTAAGGATCACACCAGGATAATGTTGCAAGATTTTTCACCACAATACCTGGGGTTTGTTGTCTCGCTGCTTGGAAGAAGGAAGAGGGGGACACAGAATGAGCATCGGGCAGAAGTTTACTAAAAGTGTAAGATCAGAAGGGAAGAGTAGTAGCAAAGCTCTCTTTCCTGAGAGGGGACATTGGAAAGTGAACGCCAGGACTGTAGGGGAGGGTCCTTGCTTTATAAGGTTCTGGTCAGCCCTCCCCCTCCGCCATCCCTTCCCCCTTGGTCCTTTTCAGGCTCTACCCTTACTGGCTGGATCGCTCTAGGTGCTGGGTTGTCCATTCCTGATGGGCTCCTTTCCATTGTAGGAGGGGTGGTCTCTGGCCTTAAGTATGTCTTTCATCAAATTCCCGAGGGAACCCCGAGGGGGAGTAGGTGGGGTCTGTTCCATTGTTAAGAGGAACCTTAAGCCTGAGGGGGTTTGCTGTGGCCACACACCCCCAGCATTGTTTCCAAATAAGTGTTTTTCCGCAAGAAGGGCCAGGTTGGGTGACGGTGGGGGACTGACAGTGTTCCCTATTTAGATTTGGGGGTGGCTACAGGGGGATGCCCACTTTGTAAAAACGTGTCACCAAGTTGCACCCCAGAGGTATGGCATCTTATTGCATGCATGTTTTGAAATAAAACCTCCGTATTTCAAAAAAGAAGTTTAAACGTCCTGTTTCACATGAGTCTAGATTTCTGTCTTAGCAACCGAGTGGAAAACTATAAAGCAAGGAGAGAGCCGAAGCCCGTTCTGCGGCGCTGCTCAGGGGTTACAACCTCTCCTCCGGGGCGGGCAAGCCGGATTCCTAACCCAAACTACAAAAGGGTTTATTCGGTTCTTCTATCAGTGAGCTGATGCCCCCCAGAGCAAACCAGGCTGGCAGGTCCCCTCTCTGCACAAGGACTGAGAAGTACAGCTGATTTCTGCAGGCGTCAGGTGGGCGGCACGTCACTTCATCGTGGACACTTGCTGGCTGCTGGATGGACTGTCCCTGACAGGCGACAAGTCCACACCCTCGAGGAGCTGTTTACTAGCCCGATCCTGACTTCGCATTTAAGACCAGAGAGTCTGGTTGGGCCCACACACTTAACCTTGCAAGCGCTGTCACAGGAAGTCCTAGGGTAACCTCATTTTTCCTAAAGTCAACTGGGGGCAAGATAGAAAAGAGGGAAGCGGGGCCACCGGTGCGTTGCACTGGGAACCCCCCCCCCACCCCCCGCACCACGTCACCTCACCTCCGACCCACGTCCTCACTGCTAAATACACTCCCTGAACCAGTCTCACTTTCTGCACAGTTTCACACTCGAGGAAGACAGGATTCACATTGCAATGCTGGTTTAAACTGGAAGTATAGTCTATGTGGCTGAATTCTGCACCTGCTGATAAATGATGCTAAGTCATCAAAGAAGAACAAGGCGGCCGGCCAGCTGTCGATCACAGTAGCTTGGTGTGCAAGCCTGTGGATCCGTAGCATGGCCTTCTTTAACCATATGCTCCAAGAAATACTCAGTGTAGATCTTTATATATATAGTATTGATGTGAACAAATCCTGTTTGAAATATGTAAAATATTCATAATTTCAAATACTTTTTTTAACATATTTTTTTAATGTTTATTTATTTTTGAGAGAGAGAGAGAGACAGAGACAGAGCACAAGCAGGGGAGGGGCAGAGGGAGAGGGAGACACAGAATCGGAAGCAGGCTCCAGGCTCTGAGCTGTCAGCACAGAGCCCGACGCGGAGCTCGAACTTGGGAACGGCGAGATCATGACCTGAGCTGAAGCGTGACGCTCATCCCACTGAGCCACTCAGGCACTCCATTGCCTGAATTTTTAAAATGACATTTAGTTATATGGGGGCAAACCAAAAGAGGGGTAGTGTCAGCCAAACCCAATAAAAAAGCCAGGCAGAAAGCACTGAAGATTTTTATTTGGTGACTCACGTTAGCAGCAACACTAGGAAAATGACTCACCTCCTCGATCAGGACTCTTGCTCTGCCTATACTGTTTAATTATACTTTTGTAAAACAAAATACGTTGCAAAATATACTTGACTTTAACCAAAAAGTCAAAATCGTGGAAATCAGAGTTCTAAAGAAAGTTTAATCTTGAACGCAAAATACAAATCCTTCTTTGTGTTGTCTTGAAAAGCACATTGTTAACAACACTTCGGTGTAGACTGGAGTGAATTATCGTAGCCCAGGGTCTATTCTTGCATTTACTGTTTAAGCTAGAGAAGGACATTGTTGAATGAAGTATAAACTCTTTACACCAGTGACATTTTTAAAAAGACAAGCAAAACAAGGGAGACTGACATTATAAGATGGCTACGCCAGCATCCACACACGTGATTCCCTATTAGACAAAAATAAGGATAGCGTCCCCAGCGTATCAGGATCCGTTTAACAAGCACACGGCACGTAACATCCTTCAGGATGCCAAGAACCTTAGTGAAGCCTCGACTTCCGTAAACCTAATAACATGAGTGCTCTTTTGAAAGGCTGGGATACCAGCAGCAGTTGACAAAAAAGAACAGATCAAGAGAAAATACATTCCATTATTATAAACGTACTCATTAACTTCTACCGGAGATTTTATTTTTACAGAATAATTATAGGTATTTTTTCGCTGAATGCTTATGTGCATGAGAATTGGAATGACCCTACAGGAAAAGTTTCTGAAGTAACTGAATAAGCTAGGAAAAATACGTGGTAAGTGTTATCTGGTGTTCCATCAGGTGATACGGAATATTACAGACAAAAAGTGCAAACTTGAAATAAACCAAAAACCTTTAAATAGTGCTTGTATTTTATTTTAAGTCCAACCGTATAATACATTTAAATGGAAGCTTTGTTTAATTACTTTTTTAAGTGTTGAACGCAAGATTTCTGTAAGGTTTTTTTTTTTTTCTTACTTCCTACAACGTTAACTGGAAGAGGTGGGGGAGGGGCATATTTAATATAGAGGGGATGAATCCTGAGATTTCCCAAAATGTCTCAATTAAGGTCCTGCGGACATGGGCACTTGTTCCCCGGCGCACAACGGAATGCCGTTTAGGAAGAAATAGGATTATCGCCCCTCGGAAACCTGTGTTTGCTACCAGCCAAGCCGCGATGCCTAAGTTGCTCAACGTGGCTTTTATAGTGAGAGGGCTACTTCTATCTTTCCTCAAACGGGTTCTATTTCTTGTAATTCACATGACACCCCTGGGCTGCGGCTGTCTGTTCAATTTCCTGTTTTGCTCTAGGTTCAGCAAATCAAAACAAATAGCTCACAGAAAAGAGTTCGGTAACTCCTGGTTTTCTTCCTCTGGCATTTCCAGCGAAGTGTTCTCTCCTTAGAGGCACAGAGAAAGGAAGGAATTCGCCGCGAACAAGGTAGAAGTAGGTCACAGAAGTTTCAATGCTCCAAAAAACGTGCCATCTCCATCTTGCGATATTTTAGCGTCTTCCCGCGGTATTGCCAATTGGAGTTCATCTCCTTCTTCCAGCTTTGCGATGCCTGGAAAACAGTGATTTACAGGGACTTTAAGTGGTTGTACGATGCGGGGGACGTGTATTAAATAAAACTATGTCATGTTGGGAAAATGCTAACGTCTGCATGCACACCTCAAATCACACCGGTAGACGTCTGAACCAGTTACACCATTCCACCAGCCGGAAAACAGAAACAGCTAAAGCAAATGAGCAGAAAGAATGACAACAGATATCACTGTGTTTACCACCTACTGTCGATAAAATGGAGACGCTGAACGGAAACCAATGTCTGGTGGTAAGAAAAAAAGTTAAGTAATCATAGCACGTCATCTTGATGGGATAGTATATGGTTAAAAGTGGTTTTGCTTCCTTGTATTGACAAAGAAAACTATTTATAATAACGTTAAGCAAAAACACAAAATAGAGATAGAAAAAAACGACACACACCGTGCAGTGTGGGTATGCTGCACGTACACACTTAAAATGTGCATATAAAATGTACACATTGTTAAAAAAAAAAAAAAGAACCATTCATTAGCTAAGCCTATATGCTAACATAGTTTTCCCTACAGTCCAGACCATAGGATTAGGGCTCATTTGCATTATTTTTTACAGCCTTCTATATTTCATGTTTCCTTAAATGACCATATCTGACTTTATAACCAAAAGCACGAAAGCACTTAGCTTCTCAAAACTGATCGATAAATCTGTGTGTGCCTAGTTTACAGAGATGCATCCTGTGATTCAGGAATACAAAACACAACTCGGGAACTACACTCAGTAAGCACGACGATGCGGACCCCAATACAGACCCCATGTTAAAAGGAAAATAGGAGGGAAAAGGAAGGAGGAGAAAAAACAAAGAAACCAACAAACAAAATAATATCAAAACTGCTAATACTTTCAACCAATAATTTAAAAGGTAGTTGCGTTTTCATGAATATGCAGTGAAAATGTATTATAGGAACTATGTTACATATGTTAACATCCATCATCAAACCCAAAGCACCCAGATCTCCTGACAGTCAGTTTTTATTTACTGAATACTTAATGATATGCCAGGCACCTTTCAAGACACACAAGAGCTGTGATCAGAATTACAAAAGTTTCTGTCTCCAAGGATCTTGGGTGTCTGTCTGTTTGTTTGCTTGTTTGTTTTTGTAACGGACTAAGACAGACAACAAACAAAAGAACATAGTTTCAGGTACTGTGAAGGGTAATTGTACACTTTTCAGGATTAGCAAGGCATTTGATGACTACATTAAATAGTAGAAAGACAAAAAAATAGATTGGAATTTATTTGTTGAAGAAATCAGTTGTTATAAAGGCTGAAGATAATCTAGTATTTCGAAAAGGCTATTGATCACAGAGCATTAAGTAATGCTAACTCTCAAAATAAAGTCAGTGTGAACTATTTTCAAGTAGGTTCTGTTTAAAATTCTAATGCTGAGTTATTGGCTATTTCGAGTCTTCCAGATGATAGCTATCAGCTGTACCTTCTACAACAGACACACTCAGTTTGTTCATGAGATAGTGAGTAAGTGTGTAAAAGAGGCACCTGGTCTTCTGCTGGGCTCCTCACATGGACCACCTACATTTTTTCCAGGGTATTCTGTATGGAAGCGCTTCACGCACTCAGATACAAATCTGTGGTTTTTAATGGTTTTAAACAGATTTGCCCCAGAGCAGATTAAAATTGCAAACCTGAGGTGTCCTAGAGAACGGTTCTCATGGATGATACTATGCCACAGGCATTGAGACTCAGCTTTACGGCCCAGTTAACTACTCTTAAAAAGCGGGCAGCTAGGAAAAAAAAAAAAAAAAAAAGGGGGCGCCTGGGTGGCACAGTCGGTTAAGCGTCCGACTTCAGCCAGGTCACGATCTCGCGGTCCGGGAGTTCGAGCCCCGCGTCGGGCTCTGGGCTGATGGCTCAGAGCCTGGAGCCTGTTTCCGATTCTGTGTCTCCCTCTCTCTCTGCCCCTCCCCCGTTCATGCTCTGTCTCTCTCTGTCCCAAAAATAAATAAACGTTGAAAAAAAAATTGTTTAAAAAAAAAAAAAGCGGGCAGCTAGGAAGTGTGGCCGAGACCGTGAACGCGGAGGGGCAGATGACCAGAAAGCCTCCACGAGCAGCTCGCGAAGTCGTAATTACTGCTGCATGTGAACAGCACAGACAGGGGGCGGCCTCGCCATTTCCAAGGATCCTGCAACGGCAGGACACTGGTCATCGCTGGGCACAGGGGAGCTTTTCTTTATGAAAATGAGGGAGTTTCAATTTAACACACTTCCTCGTCATCCCGTAACAGCTATTTAAGGCAGTGGATCCAGAATGACAATCGTCTCCGTTTTTATGAACTATTTTCCTTCCTTCCCAATTGGCTTCTTGTGCACTTGTCGGCCGATAGCTTTGCGAGTTAGCGCTTCAAATAGCGTGGCCAGGGGCGCCCGGGTGGCTCGGTCAGCTAAGCGTCCGACTTCGGCTCGGGTCATGATCTCACGGTCCGTGAGTTCGAGCCCCGCGTCGGGCTCTGGGCTGACAGCTCAGAGCCTGGAGCCTGTTTCCGATTCTGTGTCTCCCTCTCTCTCTGCCCCTCCCCTGTTCACGCTCTGTCTCTCTCTGTCTCAAAAATAAATAAACGTTAAAAAAAAAAATTAAAAAAAACAAAAACAAAAACAAATAGCGTGGCCAGTCCCGGGCCTGTGTTTCACGCTGTCTTTTCACGGGAACAGTCTGGAACTGAAGACATTCCTCAGGGTTCTCCATTGGATTTGTCAAAATCACCAGGGAGGAATCAATGTGTTTAAGGCAAATATGGGCTCCCCCCACCCGCCCACCACCAGCTTTGATGAATTCACCCCCACCACGAAATAAAGACTATGTAGGCAAATACAGCCCAAAGGCCTGACATGAACAAATCCCACCCTTCCTCTTTTCTCTCTGCGTCTTCAGGGCCCCTGGGCTGCAGCAGCCTTGCACCTACATGTTCACACCCCAAAGCCATCCGTCTGCTGTCCCTTTCCACCAGAGGTCACCTGTATGAGGCTGAGAGAAAGCCACTGTGCAACTTGACCAGACCCTCAAACTGACCAGGGCATTCTCTAGCAGCCCTTAAAACAAAAAAACAAAAAAACAAAAAAAAAAAAAAAAAAAGAAAAAAAGAAAAAGAAAAAGAAAAAAGAAAAGCTTTGGGGGCTCCCACTCTGGGGTCACACCGGGTGGTTTATGCCAAGTTCTGGAACTTAGAAACTCTGCAAGCTAGGACACCGTGTGCTGCCTCCCTGTGTCTGGATTCCGCCTCCCTTGAACAGGGCGAATCCTGTGAAGGAGCACAGGTAAGGGACAGACAAGGTCGTCGGGCACGTGGTGACCGTTCTCATTCTATTACCACTGCTGTAGTTATTATACAGTTTTACCTGCTGAAGAAAACGCAGTTTAGAATTGCTCTCAGTGTCGACAGCTCTGAGTTCGTGCCCTCTCTCAATGTATAGAAACGGGATAGAACTCTTAGTAACGATTTTTTCTGTTTCAATTAAAAGGAACCAGCTCATCATTCAAGAGGAGAAAAAACACACAGCATATCAAAGAGTGTCTTTCTGTCTATTTATACAGAACTGTTATTTACCAGCGGAATAACAGGAATTATTGGGTAGTGTTTCAGGCATATTTTGAATACATCGGAACAAATTCACCAGACTCAGTTCGTCCCCAAAGACGTGGACTTTTTTCCTCTGTATTAGGTGTCCCATAGCAAAGGTGTTATCCGTGTATAAAACCTGAGGAACAAACCAAAGAACTCTGTCAGAAGCGAGCACAAAAAGGAGGCACTGGGCGGTGGCACAGGTGGGGCGTTGAACCTACCTGCCCGTATATAAAGAAGTAACCGGTTTCTTTCACCAGGATTTTATTTTCCTTTTCTTCCAGGGCCCTTCCTCTTTTAAAGCTGAGCAGCCACGGAACGAACGTGTAGGCTCCTACGATGGAGAGAGTAACTTGTGAGGAAAGCGGTTTTTCACCTCCACTTAGTTGCTAGACCGAGTCTGAAACTTAGAACTGAATTTCATCTTCAAGGAAAAAAAAAAAAGAAAAAAAAAGGAAAAGAAAACAAATCAGGGCGCTCTGCTGGTTTTTCAGCTGTGCTTGGCACATTAACCCGGACAACCATCGGAGTCAGGAACCTGAGGGCAAACACTTCCTAAGAATGTTCTGCGTTTTCTTTTGTTCTTGTGCATTGCAGCAATTGTCATCACAGAGCCCGGTCTGCATGGGCAGAGTTGGAGGCGAAAGAAAAAAAAAAATGCACCAAATGTCTCTGAATAACACACTTACACAAGTTTTCTGGTTTTTCCTTGCTTCCCAGAGAGGAGGGGGCTAGCAGGGGGAGAATTTAGGGAAGGGCATCAGGGGAGAAGCCCCCTCCCCAGCGCGCTGGGCAACAGAAGAGAGCTTCCAGAGAGCGTGGGAAGTTGCCAAGACATAGCCTTTCCTAGGACATGGTCAAGGAACTTGGCAATGTCCCTCTGTAATATTCACGTAAAGTGGTTTGTGCTCAGCACATGAATTCTCCTCTGGGACCCCTCAGGCTTCCCTGGGGAGTGACAGGGGAGCTGCGGTGTGGAAGAACCCCAGGAAGGGTGCAGACAGCAGCCAGCAGCTACAGAAAATGGGTCGGCCGGAGGGGACCCGATCTCTGTGCCAGAACACGGTGCTTTGGGACAGACGGCCTTGAGGAGGGTATAAACGCTCCTCTCCTGTGAATCCACAGTGTGAAGTCACTGGGTTTCTCACCGTCATGTAAAGATTGGAGTAAATGGCGAACCCTGAGGCCAGATTAAGAACTGTGGGATTGAGGGGGGGGGGGGGGGGCAAAATAGCATAAAATAATCAAAAAGAAGATGAGGGAAATGGTAACATACAGAGAGAATAATAAAATGAAACTGTGGTGGTCTAAAATAGTATAACAAGTGTTCCCATATGATTGGTCATGTTGGACCACACGCATCCCCAAGCTTCACCTCGGTCGTAGCAAAAAGGGAAACAATAATCAAATTCAGAGTCCATGGGACAATATGCCAGAAGCTCAAGAAAAAAACAACTTGTCCTAGACTGAGTTTAAAGAAAATGTTCCCTGGGGATTTCTGAAAGGGGCTGCACGGTAGGACGCAGCAGCTGGTAACGCTTTCACATTCGTAAACACAACTGCTGAGTGCGTGCACCCACTTCAGCGAGCTCCCCGAAGGCCAACCCGTCACATCTGAACTTTTTCCAAATGGGATTCTTGAGGGAAAAATAGAAAACGAAAACTACGCATTTTCTGAATGTTTGGAGGAGGAAAGGACCCGAGGTGATCACACAAAGCAAACTACCCCTTGAACCTGAGTTCAGTTCCCTGAGGCAGCTCTCCCAGTTGACATGCCCACAGGTGCAGGGCGGGCGCTGGGAGGGAGAGCCAGAGAGGAGAGACAGGTGCCCTTGTCCCTCCTCTCGTGTATTCCCAGGACCTGCATCAGTCCCCCAGGGGAGCCAATGCTCCCACAGTATCCGGCAGACCCCCACACCACCTCGCTTTGCTGTTCCCAAGGTCTGTGAGGAAGCTTCACTTCAGTAAAACCCACCAGTGCCACTCTGGATGGTGACAGTCCCTGGATAAAAGATCTCCCCAGTTACAAGTCACAGAGACCAACTCATCATCCCGTTTTGATACTGCATCATTTCAGTGACGAGATGACAATAAGGTAGTTTCACATTTGTTTAAATGAGATCATGTACCCAAGGCACTTTCAAAGACAGAGAGCTGAAAATGCGAGGAAGAATTAATCATCCTGGTTGTTCTTACTGAAGGCGGCTGCCCACGAGATGCTCTGACAAAAGAAAGGCGTCTTTTCCCTTCAAAACAGTACACATGTCGGATCCCGACTTCTCTGGGTTCAGACACTGTTAATGTTTGGTTCTCTGCTATTTGCCCAGGGCCTGACACCATGCCTGGCCTCCAGCAGACATGCAGCAAATATTTACCGAATTAACGAATTCAACTTTAAACATAAGCTAATTCAAAATGGCAGGGCGTTCTCTGCAACTACCCGCAAGCATCCGATCATTTTTTAAAAGCATTCTGTTATTTACGTATTTGTTTATTTACTTTAAAAGCATTTTGTGAGCTAGTTACTGAAACCGTGTGAAATGCGACATCACTCGTGAACTAAAGTAACACACAGAGTTCTAAAACTGGCTAGAGATGTTTACTTACTAAACATTTTTTTTCAATGTCGTAGGTTGATTTCCTATTTCTTTACACCATACTTATATCTATAAAATCAGTGAGGTGCTTTTTACCCAATTCCGCCGCTGTATTGTCAGCAAAGAAAGAAAAACAAATAGTTACTAGGTATATATTCTTACGTCCTCTCGGCATTTTCTTTTGGCATTTCATCCTATCTTGCTGGGAATGTTCTCATTAAAGAGAGTCAGTGCATGGTTACCTGTTTTAATGTACTGTCTGCATTTCTCCCCCACTGCACACACACACAGCACACACACACACATACACGCACATGCGCGCACACGAATTCTACTCCCTAAGGCCAAATGCCAAGAATACAGCCCAGCACAGTATATGCACTCAGTGAATATGTGCTACTGAATGAGTGTCGAATCCTTTAAGCAAATAGACGAAACAGTAAATTAAAAGTAATTATAAACTTAAGCATAAATATTATAACGTGTTTCTACATATTAAAACATGCTTAGATTTTTCACATGCAAATTAGACTACAGAGAAATGCTAATGAAAAAATACACACGAAGTGCCTATTCTGTAGGATGCTTTTCCTTTTTTTTGGGTTTTTTTTTCCAACTTTTTTTTTTTTGGGGGGGGGACAGAGAGAGACAGAGCATGAACGGGGGAGGGGCAGAGAGAGAGGGAGACACAGAATCAGAAACAGGCTCCAGGCTCTGAGCCATCAGCCCAGAGCCCGACGCGGGGCTCGAACTCCCGGACCGCGAGATCGTGACCTGGCTGAAGTCGGACGCTTAACTGACTGCGCCACCCAGGCGCCCCTCGTTTTTTTTTTTTAACATTTATTTATTTTTGAGAGACTGAGAGAGACAAAGCACAAGTGGGGGAGGAGCAGAGAGTGAGGGAGACACAGAATCCAAGGCAGGCTCCAAGCTCTGAGCTGTCAGCACAGAGCCCGGACGCAGGGCTCGAACCCATGAACCACGAGATCATGACCTGAGCCGAAGTCAGACACTTAACCGACTGAGCCACCCAGGCGCCCCTGTAGGATGCTTTTGTAAACCAGAATGCATTACTACTTATAGTCAGTATTTGAAAATTCGGAAGTACACTCCAAGAGTATTACTGCTTATTTTATCTTTGCTAGTCCACAGCTAAAATACAGATGTGCTGTGGTGTATAAAAAGGCTGAACTTCCCACCTCCACTCAGCTGTACATACTTGATGTACTGATCTGTTTTTGAAAACTTAAGAAAATTAATGTGTGCAACGACCTGCGAAATTCAATAAAAAGAATGCCAGTATTAGTTTGTGAAAATAATTTACGCGTGCACTTGAAAGTGTTTGCTCTTAAAAGAGTAGATCTTTCCTGTTCTGACATATAACAAATACATAAATTTTAGGTTGACAACATTTTATAGAAGAATCAGACATATTTCATTAATATTTGGTTTTTATTCTATTTTATCAATTGGACGTTTCCTTGCAAACATTTGTACCCCCAGTGTTACCTCCTTCAACAGCTGGAAATAGATGGCTCAGACAGCAGGTGTCGATCAGAGCTGCTACATTGGTGACTTCTCTTGATTTTTAAATGTTATTATCGTACAGCTGCCGGAAATAGTTTTAAGGGATAACATATTGATAACACATTTTTAAAAAGAGAAAGTAAACCAATCAAGACATCGTGATTTTTTTGTATAAAGCAAGTATAGTGTGGCCTGGAAATCCATAGTTATCGTAGGCTTGGTTCCATAGTTGAGGTGGAGCAAGGGAAATCAGGAGAAAACAAATGCAGCCGGGCAGAGCTGAGGGGCAGAGCTGTATGGAGGGCAACTGGAGGCCCCTGTAGGGCTGTGAGCAGTGGAGAGAAATGATTATTCCATCTTTTAGAAATATCACGATGCGGCTTCCAGGCAAGAAAAGGTACAAAAATGGGGGCAAAGAACCAGCCAAGGTGGGAGATGATGGCCGTCTGTACCAGGATGGTGAGATGGGAATGAGCGAAATGGATTAATGCAGGTTGGATTCATGGGGAATAACTCGTAGGGTTTTGCGATTAACGTAAGGTGTTAGCAGGAACAGTCAAGAATGACACCCAGCATTGTGGGTTAGAGAAGCGAGGACACAGCCATCACACTAAATGACAGAGGAACACTGCAGGAAGGGATCTGGGGACAAGTTCTACAGTGAGGCTGAGGTGCCGCCAAGTTGTAAAGGAAGAGATGTGTACAGGCTTGGAGCTTGGTGGCTCGAGCTAAAGATCTACATCCAAACCATCAGCATGTGGCTGTTATATGACAACACAACACAGTATTTAAGAACACCACAGAAACAAGGTGAAAACAAAAGAGAACAGGACTACATCAGAGGTCTTGAAACACATCAATATGGAGGAGATACATTTAGGAGTAATTTGCAAAGAGATTTAAAAGGAGACGCCAAAAAGAGAATGGTTAGAGAAACAAACTTCAGGAAGCCTGAGTTTCTAGAAGAAACAGTCATCAAGTGTTAAATTCTACTGGGAGATTAAAAGTAAATCTCATCCTCGCCTCTACGAAATAATTACGAAACAATTACGTAGCAAAGCAGAAATAAACAAGGGACTTCCGCCATCAACATGATTGAGGAAAATACATCTGCCCTTTCTTTACCTCTGTTAAGTCATGTGAAAGAAATGGACAGAAAGAAATGGCATGTTTTCCAGAGTAAGTTGAAAGGGTAACAAAGTCACTGAGC